GAGCTTTGGAAAACATGTCGAAGGACATTGTATGCACCGAAGCACATGTGAAATAGATTGTTCTTCTCCACATTCACACAAAGTATCTTCTATAGGGAAACTGTAAATGCTGTGTACAGATTAAAAATGAAAGTGAAATGTTTGTTGGAGAACAGGTGCTTTATAAATAAGTAAGATTCATAAAATGTGGTCTATAATTAGTACCACCTTGTACTTATCAAAGTCTGCCCCCAACGTGTAAGGCAGCAAGCGCTTTAGGCTACAGCTGCTACCTTTCCAATTTCCGAATCCCCTTCTGAATAATACAACATTCAGCCTGTATTTTGGGTAGCTACCTTCAGATGCCTATTGAGGTTAGGTCACATCCTTTTTTGAAGGCCTGTCTCCTCAACTTTAAAAGTTATCTCCTGCAGGGACTCATTATTTTTATTGCTCAGATATGATTTCGGTCAACTGTACACGTGTCCCACAAACCATTTTCTCGAGAGAGGCACTAACTGCACAGGCGGTGTAAAATCTACCTGGCAGTTCTGGGTTGCATCTTTTTTTTTTTTTTCCTGTGTTCCACATAATTTCTGGGCTTTGTCATATCAGTAAGGGAAAGATGGAATACAATTATTTGACACAGATAGAAGAGAATATTTGTAGCTCAGGGTTGAACTGTGAGTGTGGTTTTCTTGCAGACGTTTCATTACCAAACTAGGTAACATCATCAGTGATACAGGTATTTAGCTGGGCAAGGCAGGCAAGGCTCGTCTTCTATGAAGGTGAGACTAAACATCTCTTTCTCTAATTTGGGATGAAGGCACCAGGGATGCTTTGTTGAAAGAAAAATCAGGTCCAGTTCCAAGCCGGGAGTAAGGTGCTGGAAATAAAATGGAGGCTAAGATGCTGGAAATAAAATGGAGGTCGCATAGGAAAGAAGGGTCTTGTTTATTGATGAGCAGAACCAGCAATAGCATGCAGTTCTGGGACAGCTGACAAAATGGAGTTGAGAGTGGGTGGGTTTTTATACCTTCTTTGGGCTTTGTACTTGAAATGCCTGTTGTGAAATGTACTGTGACCTGTGCTTGATTGTGCCTTTTTGGTATTCTAATGATTTCATTTGTCTGAAATGGTATAGGGTTTCCTGCCTGAGCAGGGGGTTGGACTAGATGACCTCCAAGATCCCTTCCAACTTTATTATTATTATTATTATTATTATTATTATTATTATTATTGTTGTTGTTGTTGTTGTTGTTGTTGTTGTTGTTGTTGTTGTTGCCTGACTCCCATTGTGGCTTGGAGTTCATGTCCTGTCCTTGGAGCTGGGTGGGGAATGTAGATTTTAGGAGTCTTTGTTTTTCTAATCTGATCAGCTGTGAACAGGGCTTTTTTTCTCGGAGAAAAGGTGGCGGAACTCAAACCTGGCCACGCCCTCATCAAACCCTAGGACCGCCCCTTTAGAGAACAGGAATGCAAGTAAAATTTGGGAGGGGCTATTTCCGGTGCGGCCGGCCCGGAAAAAGGTGCCGGAACGCGGTTCCGCCGCGTTCCGGCTGAAAAAAAGCCCTGGCTGTGAATGATTTTGTTAATGAATAGTGTGGCCTGAGTCTTTCTGAATGAATTAAAAAAATGTCCATTTCTAAAGATTGACCTCCTCAGGTTTCTGCCATTTCTCCTTCAGGGTAAATATTCTATCCTGCCTTTTTTAATATTCCCCAAAATAGTTCATTCTCTGGGAGGTAGGGCTGTGACTTCGTACACTTTGCCTAAAAATTCATTAGAAAGGCAGTGAAGTAATTCCCTGGAAGAGATGTGCCACTGATTGAGGAAAAGAGTCACACCTAGTCTTTGACTTGCAATCTCACCTTAAAAAGTAGAGGGTGCAAGGCTGATGGTCAAAAAAAAAGAAGTAAAAATGGTGATCAGAATCATGCAATCAAAGCCCCAATCATTTTTTTTATGGATGTGGCAGATGAAACACACATTAAAAACCAGGCAGGATGATTATCTAGCTGCCGTCTTGACCCCTTCCAAAATAAGCAATGTAAACTTATTAAATACAGTAAATGCTCTTAAAGAGTGATTCCCTCCTTTGAATTGAGCTCAGCTCCTGGTTGAAGGAACGGAAATATTAAAGGGAGTTTTCTTGCAATAATACAGGTCGTTCTTGACTTACAACCACAATTGAGCCCAAAATTTCTGTTGCTAAGTGAGACAGTTGTTAAATTAGTTTTGTCCCGTTTTACGACCTTTCTTGCCACGGTTGTTAAGTGAATCACTGGAGTTGTTAAATTAGTAACATGGTTGTTAAGTGAATCTGGCATCCCCACTAACTTTACTTGTCAGAAGGTTGCAAAATGCGACCACCTGACCTGGAACACTGCAACCGTCATAAATAGGAACCAGTTACGGACCATCTGAATTTTGATCAGGTGATGACAAGGATGTTGCAACGGTCGTAAGTGTGAAAAATGGTCCTAAGTCACTTTTTTCAGTGCCATTGTAACTTTGAATGGTCACTAAATGAATGGTTGTAAGTCGAGGACTTCCTGTATGAAAGTAGTTTCTCGTTGTTTTTCCTATTCATTTTTTTAACTTCTCAGTTTGATCTACAGCCCTAGGATTTACCAGTGGTCTCCCATCCAAATACAGGGCTGGCTTTTTTTGTCCAGAGAAAGTTGACATTGCCATCTGCTGAGACCTCTATATATTCAAATGTTTGAAAGATCAATAGCAATATACACAGCGGTGGGACTCAGCCGGTTCACACCACTTCGGCAGAACCGGTAGCTAATTTTTTGTTGCCCAGGCCCAGAATGGACTTCCGGAAGCGGCATCCACAGAGAACCGGTTGTTCACCTATTTCAGGGGTAGGCAACCTTGGCTCTTTTATGACTCGTGGACTTCAACTCCCAGAATTCCTGAGCCAGCATAGCTGGCTCAGGAATTCTGGGAGTTAAAGTCCACAAGTCATCAAAGAGCCAAGGTTGCCTACCCCTGACCTATTTGAATCCCACCGCTGAATATACAGTTTGATTGGTAGCCATAGTTGGAGAGACTCTGAAGACCAGTTAGAAAAGAGCATTTGCAACACTCTTGGGATTTCAGATTGATCTTAAGATGGTGTTTTTCAATTTGAGCAACTGAAGTGTGGACTTCAACTCCCAGAATTCCCCAAATAGCCTGACTGGCTGGGGAATTCTGGGAATTGAAGTCCACACATCTTAAAGTTGCCAAGGTGGAGACATACTGAGTTAAGAGGTTGTTCAGGCTCTGATAGAGTGGAAATCATTTTCTTATAAAATGAATTGATAATAAAACAGTATAATAGCTCTCTTCCCTTCTCCTCTTCTTTCCCCCCACTTTTCTTTAAAATGTTAAGCGCATTTGACATTTTTGTAAATCTACCTTTCCCAGCCAAGGGTATCCACAAGGTGTGGTCTGAAAAGTCAAAACGGCGACTACGATGGTGTGATTAAAGTTGCATTCATTTTTTATGTGCGTAAACATAAAATCCTTTCCTGGTTTCTTTCATTATTGATGGGACACGTTCCTTGCAATTCTCCAATGAATTGTGTGTCTTCAAGTGAAGATTTCTGGCATGATGGTGCTCAGAGACTTGCATATTTCTCTTCTCCTTGAACTTCTTTTTTGTGGCTTCTAACGATTTCTGGACTCTTTCTTCATAAGGCGCCTTTGATACTTTCTCTGAACCTCACTGGAGGTTTTCAAACAGAGGCTGGAGAGTTAACTCTCCGGGATAATTAAGTGCAGCAGAGGTCTGCAGAATCAATTTTGTTTTGCCAGATGTCGAAGATATTTGCCAATAAAATTAAAACAATGTCACTCCGCTCATATTACTTTTTATTTGCTAATAAAATATAGGGTTTTCTTTTTAGCTGCCCAGAGTTGTTTTGACATGAGATGGGCAACAAATAAATTAAATAAACAAACAAACAAATAAACAAAACAAAATACAAATAAGTATTTTATTTATGTTAATATCTACTGGTTTGAATATTGTTGGCTTTATACGGTTCGTTTTGCTTCTCATCCAGAACTGAAGAAGCTTCTTGGATGAGAAGCGAAACGTCTTCAAAGAAAAGCAAAGGAAGTCCAGTTGCCTATTGAAAAAGCACCTTTGGGACAATCAGGACCTGGATGACTGAGAATCTCCATAGACCAGGGGTAGGCAACCTTGGCTCTTTTATGACTCGTGGACTTCAACTCCCAGAATTCCTGAGCCAGCCATGCTGAGGGGAAAGGGAGAGGTTTCCATGCTGAGCCATGCTGGCTCAGGAATTCTGGGAGTTGAAGTCCACGAGTCATAAAAGAGCCAAGGTTGCCTACCCCTGCCACAGACATTCGTTCATTGCATTGATATGCCCCCCCCCAACTCCTCCAAAGTGAGCAATTATCTATAGGTATAACAGTCAATATAGATCTAGGAAAGATTCATTAAAACATTTGTTAAAGCAATCTCCTTAATGAATCAAGTATAATTTCCTATTTTATCCCTCCTGCCCTGAAAGAGGTAATTGTTTTGAAGGGTCTGCATCTCATTTGAAAAACAGAAACACAGAATCAACCTATAGTTTATTTTCTCCCCCCCAGTCTATTCAGTTAGATTTTTTTCCAGGGAAAATTATTTTTGTACCTGAATTAAAAGAAGGCTAAAGCTAATGTTACTGCATCTGGGCTGCAAAAATGCAATTAATGACTGGACTGTAGCAAAATAGATTTTCTGCACTGCTTTGCCACCATCTAGCGGTCACCCAGATTTATACCTCCCTAGGGGTGTTCTAAATCCCTATTGTTAGTCATAGATGATTACTTGAAACTGTTTCTTGTTTTGATGAAACACCTTAGTGTGAATTTTGTTCTTGGCATTGCAGCCACTTTGAATTAGTGTCATAGAACGTTTTAGATGCAGCATTTCAAATAAGAAACAGAATTTGGATCGCACTAAAAATTAAAAAAAGTATTCATATTTAATTTCCAGATTATTTTTTTTAGACCTTTTGATACACGATCTTCCAAATTCATGGTTGAAATGAAATCCACAGAGAAACGATATAAAATCTCACATTACAAAAATTTCTTTGTCTAAAGTTTTTTTTTTAAATGGTAGTTGATGATTGGTGCAGGGATTATCTGTACAATTTAAGGGTTTTTCTTTTCTTTTTTAAAGGTTCATCTGCGGTAGGTTTGCTTGAGAGTGGCATAGTTCTTTATGGTGTTTGATGACTGCCTTTGCAGTTCTTCAATGTGAGAGTTTAAAATCTGTTCAAAGTCTTTTGCTCGCCTCTCTTCCTCCTGTAGGAATTTCTCTGCTGCAGCGGCCGGGAACAAAGTCTCTGGGGAAGGCTGAATGACACAAAGAAATGACACAATAAAGATAGGTATAATTAGGCAGCTTTTCTTATTAGTGCTAGGGTACTAATGCAAGTATGCTTTATATCTTTTAGACATGCAATCTTTACAGATAACCTGCCTGGCCCTCAGTGATATTATGACATCCTATATCCAGGCTGTATAATCCAGTGGGCCTCTAGATGGCAGCAAAGTGTATAAAGTTTTCTGTTATCTCTCTGATGCCATCTAGTGGTCGTTAGAACTCTAGCAGCCCAAGTTGATAATCTAATGTTGAAGAAGGTGCAGAAACAGTCTGCAAGATGGAAAGGAAAGAGTATACATATAAACAGCCTCTCCTCCATTATCTATGTATATATTGATTTTGGTCTGAAATCAATAGTACATTCATCAGGGTTATATTATCAGCCAATTTGATGCAATTGTAATTGTATTTGTATTATCAGCCAATTTGATGTAGATTTAAGTTTTTGGCCTAGAACAGTGGCCCCCAAACTTTTGGGCACCAGGGACCGGTTCTGTAGAGAGAGGTTTTTCCGTGGACTGGAGGGGGCGTGGTTTTGCATGCTGACTGCATCCTGCAGAGGAAGCTTCGCTTGTTTGCACGGACCGGTTTCTGGCATGCCACAGCCCGGTACCGGTCCACGGACTGGGGGGTAAGGGACCCCTGGTCTAGAAAACAGGAAACTGAATTCTACTTTTGTCTTAGGCATGAGAGCCGGCTGGGTGACTTTGGGCCAATCACCAGAACTTGTGAATTCTTGTCCCTTCTTAAGCATGAAAGCCAACTGGGCCAGCCATTCTCAGTTTAACCCACCTTACAGGGTTGTTGTTGTGGGGAAAATAGGAGGAGGAAGAACTATTAGGTGTGTTTGCCATTTTGAGTTACAATAATCCTTGACTTACATCCAGTTGCTTAACAACCATTTGAATTTACTAAGGTCACAGAACAGGTGCTTTATGGCCCATAAAGTAGCCCACTGGCTGTTGTAAATGCTATTGCTGCCCCCCCCGAATGTGGACACGCAAACACGTTGTGTGCTTGGCAACTGATTGCCTTTATAATTACTTAGAATGTTCTGCAGTCACATAACTGCGATTTGTGATATTTTTACCAATTTTTGTCACAAAATGCCATTCAAATGAATGAATTTGCCTAATGACTGCAATGTTTGCTTAATGATTATGGTGAATAATTTTAGAAAAGCACTTCTGGCTACATTGGCTGAGGAATTCTGGGAGTTAGAAGTCCACATATCTTAAAGTTGCTAAGATTGAGAAATACTGGTTTATATTCAGTTTAGTTTCTTGCATATCTATTTTCTCCCATTTTTAATGCAGAATTAAGTGATCTCATGTGCATGAATGAGCCATTACAAATGAATCAGTAGTTATAATGTTTACATTACTTTGGATATTATCACTAATGTGACAATTTTTTGGCAGAGTAAATTTAATGCTTCCTGGGGAATTATCAAGCAAAGAAAATGGAATTGTGAGATTTCCATGATACCGAAAGGATGAGCATCTAAATCTGAAATAAAACAGGAGGTAAAATAGCATATTTATATACCTCTTTACAAAAAAAATCAATGTTTCTTTTTAAAAAGATCTACGTAAGGTTTTAAATGTAGGCTGATTGCATATTTAAGGTTTTTTTTCCTTTTGACTATCTACTTGACTTTTAAGTTGGGACTGGCAATATGATGTCTCTGAGCATGAATGTGTTCACACACAGTTGCATCGGTGTGAATCAGTTCCCTGCTTATCCAGACTTGAAGGTTTTAAATAAATACGTGTGCAACTGGCATGCTACAAGCATAGTAGATTCCATAGGGCACTTCTTATAAAATAGGAAGGGTGAGCTAAATTCAGGTAATCCTCAAGTTACAATCCGTAATGGAGCCTGCCCATCATGGTCCTAACCAGTGGTGGGATTCAAATACCTGAACATCTGGTTCTCTGCATGGATGCAGGCCTGGGCCTCTGAGGCCTAGAATGGATTTCCGGAAATGACATCCATGCACTTCCTGTGGGCTGTTCTGGGCCTGGAAGGCCTCCTCCAGGCCTCTGAGGCCTAGAACGGACTTCCGGAAATGACATCCATGCGCTTCCTGTGGGCTGTTCTGGGCCTGAGAGACCTCCTCCAGGCCTCCGAGGCCTAGAACGGACTTCCAGAAGCAGCATGGGTTCAGCTGGTTCTCCGGACTCAACAAAATTTTTCTACCGGGTTGTCACGTGAACAATCTGATTATGCGACCTTTTTTTTGTGGAGGTTGTTAAGCAAACGTTGTGATTGCAAAGCAAACCAATGGCTTACTTTTGGGCCCAGTTTTGCCAAACATTGAACGTAAATGCCAGTGTTTGACAAAATTGTCGTAAATCATGTTCACATGACAGCATAAATCATGGTCACATGACTGCAAATGGATGTCAGTGTGGCCCAGATGCCAGGAATGTAGTCCTGTGACCGTGGAAGGAAGCAGCCATCAGGTTTTCAAATCTGGGTCGTAAAAACTCCTTAGGTAGAGCCAGTGATCCTAGCAAACGGTCGTTGAGCCCCCGGTCATAAGTTGAGGATTACCTGTATAGAGTTCGGAAGTGTGTGAATCTGCCTAGAAAAAACAAAAACCAAAGAGAAGAATTTTTGAAGTTGAAATTGAAGAACATCCTGGAGAGCAGGAGAAGCAGGAAAGAGTGCCATCAGGTTGATAAATGGACCTCGTGGGACTGAGATGTCTACCACTGCTGTCATTTGTGAATACACAAGTTCCTGACAGCTGTCATTTTGTCGGAGGACCCACAACAGACTCTTCAAACTTTATGTTGTGCCCACTAGCTGAAAAAGGTTGCCATCCCCTTAGCCCGCCAAGTGAATATTGACCACTTTCTTACAAAGCAAAATAATAAATTACCATCTGTCTTTCTTCCATAATGTAGACCTGGTTCAGCAATATATCAGATTTATTCCTTTTAGGAAAGGAAGTGCAGTAAAATGGTGGGAGCACCTCCAGTGGGGATGGAGATCTACCATCCGCTATGGGTTCGCGATCTCTGCTTGATCTTTCAGGAGGTGAAGTGCCGTTGCTTCCAAGAGTTATAACATCCTGTAGGCCATGCCAGCCAGGAACATGCGTTCGGCAGCATCCCCAATGTTCATATAATGGAGACTGGGCTGAATTCTGCACGGACCTGAAAGAGCAAAATGTTTACAAGGTTATTGAATCGGTCAGAGCTTCATAATTTTCCTAACAAGCAAAATATTTGGTACAAAACTGTCCATCCAGCTTTCTTTTGGGGAATGCCAGGCAACCTCCGTGTGGCAGGAAAAAAACTTTAAACTGTGTACACTCTAAGATATTAATTTTATATACAATATATCAAATACAGGTAGCATCCCGTGGTCATGGGATCAAAATTTGGGCTCGTGGCAACTGCCATGCATACATAGTCCTTGACTTACAAGAGTTCATTTAGAGACCGTTCAAAGTTACAAGGGCACTGAAAAAAGTGACTTATGACCGTTTTTCCCAGTTACAACCGCTGCAGCATCCCCAGGATCACGTGATCAAAAATTCAGATGCTCGGCCACTGTCTCGTACTTATGACCGTTGCTGTGTCCCTGGGATCATGTGATCCCCCTTTGCGACTTTCTGACAAGCAAAGCTAATGGGGTAGCTAGATTCACTTAACAACTATGTCAGTGGTGGCGAACCTATGGCAAGTGTGCCAGAGGCGGCACTCAGAGCCCTCTGTGTGGGCACGTGTGCCATGCCCTGGAGAAGGCAACAGTCCCTCTTCAACCAGCCGCCCGCTAACTCGCCAAGGTCCCACATGGCCGGATGCATCCCAGCATGGCTGGTTTCCCTCCCCCCCCGTCCCATCCCTCCTGGCCTTGCATGCTCTCCTTTTCCCGGGCACGACCCACTGCATCGCCTCCTCAGCTGTCGGCCGGCCGTCCAGCTCAGAGGCGGCTTCTCTGAACTGCTGACGGCGGGCTGCGGAGCCCCAGAGTGCACCGGTCGAGGGACCGGCAGGCTGTGGCTGCTGAAGGAGATTGTCAGCCCCTATGCGCTTGCTGGCCTCTATGTGCGGGGGCCGATGGTGTCAGGCAGCAGTCACCCTGGCCCCTGCCTCACTTTGCCCTGCGACAATGGCACTCCCACCCTGCCTCGCCTCGCCTCATCCTGCAGGACGAGCCTCCTGCCCACCGCCCCACCTGCCAGAGACCCCCTGGATCTCCCTCAACCCTGCCCAGCCCCCACAGGCGTCCCTCCCCACGAGCAACATCGAGGTGACCACGCCCACCTTGGCCACACTCACCCAGTCTGCCATGACCACCACAGCCACACCCACCCAGTAGGCCATGCCCATCTGGCACCCAGTGATAAATAAGTGGGTTTTGGGTTTCAGTTTGGGCCCTCAGTCTCTAAAAGGTTCGCCATCACTGCCATATCCTGTTAGAAGACTCATCTGCCCCCAATTCTTCTGTTAGCTGGGAGTGTTAGATGGACCCCGTGTACAACTTGGGCATGGCTGATATTCTCTCTAAAGCTTCATTATATTCTAAAAGGAATCTGACACATAAAAGTTAAGAAGCTCTGCTCCAAATTTTAAGTATCTATAAAACAGATGGAGAAGGAAAATTATTTATATCCATTTGTTTTTGTTTTTTTCCCCTTCACTGGACAAACGTGATCAGGAAGAGTGCCTATAAATAGCAGAAACCCATTAGCATGGCATCTAGAAATTGCCAATTATCTACCCCCATCTTTCCCAAAGCCCAACACATTTTTATTTTTGCTCTCCCAAACTTATCCCTTGCCGGTTTTTTTTTTTGCTTGGTATAATTGCCATGGTAACAGAACAGCAAATTAAAACAGAACGAGGTTGGTTTTACATTCATCATAAAATAAACGATGCCCTTGAGTTAAAATAAGCTACAGTAATAGTTTGGTTCACCTACTTCTGTTTGATATTTGATAATTTAACAGTAGCTTTAAGGAGAAAACCATCATGGATTGTTTAATTTTTAAAAAAAAAAAATCAAAAATCAAAGCCAGAATCACAGATGCACTTAATTTTCAGGATTTCAAGGTTTACTGTTGCCAAATATGAGCTGCAAAATTCTGGATGGCCACCAAAGAAGTGTAAGGAGATCTAGAAAACCTTAGCACTTCTAGAGAGTTGCAGAGTTGGGGGAAAAAAACCATTTGGGACTCCATGATTTATACATAACCTTTATTTCATCCATTTAAATTTATATTTTCCAAAAAAGGTAGATAGCTTTTTCCTAAGCTACAGTACCAGGATGGGAAAATGTCAACAGCAGCCATCACAGTTAAATAAATTCCAACTTCACATCTCTATATGTCCTTCAAGCCAGCAACAGAAACTTCAGCAAGTTGACTTGTACAACACAAGTGCTCCAATAATAAAATGGTTAGTTGTTCCACCTAGAAGAGTTTAAGAAAGAATCCAGAAAAAAACATAATTCAATTTGCCACTGAGTGGAGCTATTTAGTGCACTCAGATGGAAGCTAGAAATGTAGGAAGACAGATGATGTTGTGATGCTTAATAAATTAAATTTTACATCCCTTCATCCTCCTTCCCCCTCTAGATAATTGTTAATTGGTGCAGGGGGAGGGGGAATAAGATGGAGGGGCAATTAAGAGGAAGACCCCTAGGTTAAGTGAACTCATGGTGCAATTTTGTCAAAAAAAAATATGGAAGGAAATGGCAGTTTCCGGCAAAACCGTTGTAAAATGCAGACGCGGGACTGTGGGATGTTGCAACTGCCAAAAAAGCCAACACTGTGCTAGGCTGCATTAACAGAGGGATAGAATCAAGATCACGCGAAGTATTAATACCACTCTACAATTCCTTGGTAAGACCACACTTGGAATACTGCATCCAGTTTTGGTCACCATGATGTAAAAAAGATGTTGAGACTCCAGAAAGAGTACAGAGAAGAGCAACAAAGATGATCAGGGGACTGGAGGCTAAAACATGTGAAGAACGGTTGCTGGAATTGGGTATGTCTAGTTTAATGAAGAGAAGGACGAGGGGGGACATGATAGCAGTCTTCCAGTATCTCAGGGGCTGCCCCAAAGAAGAGGGAGTCAAGCTATTCTCCAAAGCGCCTGAAGGCAGGACAAGAAGCAATGGATAGAAACTAATCAAGGAGAGAAGCAACCTAGAACTAAGGAGAAACTTCCTGACAGTTAGAACAATTAACCAGTGGAACAACCTTCCTCCAGAAGCGGTGAACGATCCAACACTGGAAGTTTTTAAGAAGAGACTGGACAGCCATTTGTCTGAAATGGTATAAGGTTACCTGCCTGAGCAGGGGGTTGGACTTGATGACCTCCAAAGTCCCTTCCAACTTTATTATTATTATTATTATTATTATTATTATTATTATTATTATTATTATTATTATTATTATTATTATTGTTGTTGTTGTTGTTGTTGTTGTTGTTGTTGTTGTTGTTATTATTATTATTATTATTATTATTATTAAATGGCCATAAAAGGCTAAGTACCCAAAGTGCGGTCATATGACCATGGGGAGGGGGCATCTCCTTTTTCAGCTAGGTCCTAAATTTGGAATGGTCACTAAATGACCAATCATAAGTTAAGCCCTACCGCTATATCAAACATGGAGCAAACCCCACAGCCTCTCACCCTGATGATGTTCCCTAGTTGGGTAATGAAACATCTGCAAGAAAACAACCAAGTACAGGGAGCGCCAAAGACTCTGCCCTTCAAGCCTGAGTTACATATGTTTTCTTCTTTTGTCCTCTTTTTCCATTCACGTTAAAATTTCATGTGAATAGTCCTTCATTTGGTACTGCCTGAAATGACACACAACTTTTCATGCTGTACCAGCGCTGAAGTACTTTTAATGAAACTTCTCAAAATTGCATCTGGCACGAGAGAAAAGAGCTGAGATGAAAGACGTAATTCAGACTGCTTATTAAAATAATTTCCTACTGAGCCATTTACATCACATACTGGTTTTTTTTCTCTCCCTCCCCTTACCTTTTTATTACATAGTATTAACACATTCTATATGGCTTTTAAAATTAATATTGGGAGGAAAACCAGGGGGGCACATTTACAGTGTGATTCTCCCCCACAAAGGAAATATCTGTCCAAGGTTCAGAAAAACATAAGAGAATATGATTTAGATACTTTTTTTTTAAATCTCTTTAATAAGCCTCTGTTAAATCAAAGGAAACTCTGAGCTTTGGCAAAATGAGAAAAAAAATATATAACGAAGATGGGGAATATGCTGTTGGATATTTTGTGCTTTCCCAAGTCTTGAAAAGAAGAAAATGAAAGAAAATCAAGAGAAGAGCATGGCAGACTAAGCAGTTTTTTAAATCAAAAAGCAGCCTCTAGACAAACTATAGCATGGGGACTCGGGCCCTGCTAGCTCCTAGCTTTGTGCATTTTGTATATTGCCAGAGACTTTTTTGGCTAGTGGAAATGTGGAGGAAATCTACGGTAGGAACAACAGTTCAGGAGAAATAATTTCTGCATCTTATTACTGTAAGGCTTAACTTGTGCCATTTATAACCAGTCATTTCCTGGAAGACAAAGATTTAATCCTTGATTTCTCGGTATACAAATGAAAAAAAAAATACCACGTGAAAAAGGTCACCTAGGACTTTGTGGTTAAAACTTTTCACCATCAAGAAAGATGGGGCTTCCGGGGACTCAAGCCTTAAATCCAATAACTGTTTAGCAAATCAAAGAGATGAAAATACTTTTCAAATGGCTCTGGAAACGGCGGGGCGTTATGCTGCTCTCTCTGAATAAAGTATGGTGTATCTGGGCAAAATATTAGCCCATTATTGTGATAGGGCCATTTTTCTTATGAAACATAATATATTCTTATATAGGTAGTCTTTGACTTATAACCACAAGTGGGACATTGGTACGGGAGGTGGGTTCTTATACACGTCACCCCTGATTTTACAACCTTTTTTTTGCCATGATTGTTAAGTAAATCACCAAGGTTGTTAAGTGAAGCCTGCAGTCATTAAGTGAACCCGGCTTTCTCATGGATTTTGCTTACTGGGAAGCCAGCTGGGATGGTCGCAAATGGCAATCACGTGAGCCCAGGATGCTGCAACCATCTAAATACATGCCAGTTTCAACACTGCAACGGTTGTAAGTGCGA